TGGACCCCGCACAGGGGGAAAATGTGTCCCCCCACCTTGGGGGACACACACACAATCCCCCAGTTGTGTCCCCCCCGCGGAGGTTGGGGGGGACACCCGGGTCTTCTCCTCGGGGGACCCCGATGTGAGGTTGGGGGTGTTGGGACTTTTTTTGGGGGTGGGTGTCACCGCTCGTCCCATCCCGGTGTTGCTTCTGGGTGGATTTAGGGTGGATTTGGGATGGCCACGTCCTCCGGGTGACACTGCCACCTCCTGGTCACCATCTCCATCTCCTGGCCACCATCTCCATCTCCTGGTCACCATCTCCACCTCTTGGCCACCATCCCCATCTCCTGGTCACCATCTCCATCTCCTGGCCACCATCTTCATCTCCTGGCCACCATCCCCACCTCCCAGCCCTTGGAGGAAGAGATGGAGAAGATGGGGTGACCTTGGTGAGAACCCCCCCATCCCACCCCACCTCCTCCTCTGAGGTAGGAGGGGAGATGCCCGGCACGTGGTGGCACCCCAAGACCACCTTCCAGCTGCTGAAGGACACGAACCACCAGAGGCCACCGCTACGTGGTGGCATCCACGGCCGTCTCCTCCTCGCCAGTGGTGGGACCGAGCGCCCCGGGGCTCCCCAAAAGGCTTTGGAGCTGGAGCCAGAAGAAGGGTCGTCTCGAGGGTTCGTGGGGCCACTCCAGGTAGGTCTTGCTGCCCAACATCTTCCGGAGGCGGGCGAAACGTCGGGGCAAACCCCGAGCGTCGATGGGTTCCTTCACCACCAAGATGACGTCCTCGCTGCCCAACCCAACGGCGCGTTGGTGGGCGAAGTAGAGCTCGTAGTTGCACCACTCGCTGTCGACGAAGCTGCGGGAGAGGACGAAGATGACCTTGGAGCTCCTCTCGATGTTCTCCACGATGTTATCGATGATCCACCGGCCCGGGGTGAAGTCCCTCTCGTGGATGCAGAGCCTGTAGGGTGGCCTGGTGTCCTCCAACCTCTGCAGGAGCTCCTGGCGGACCCAAGCGGCGTCGGCGCAGCTGTAGGAGATGAAGGCGTGGTAGGAACACTGCCGCGTGGTGCCCGCTCGCCGCCCACCATACTTGGCCCTCACCAACTGGTAGGTGGCCCGGAGGTACCAACAGGCGTCCAGCTTCCAGCAGAGCACGGTGCAGGCCACCACCACCACCGCCGTGCTGGCCACCGCCACGGCCACCAGCGCCGGCACGTTGCATTCCAAGGGGAGCGGGGTGTAGGCGGCCACGGCCGTGTCCAGCAGCGGCTCGGGGTGGTAGCAGATCCAGCTCTGGGGCCAGTCGGCCAAGGTGGGTTGTCCCCGTCGCCGCGTCTCCTCCAAGAAGAGGTAGAGGTCGCAGGTGCAGTGGTAGGGGTTGTTGCCAGCCTCCAGGCTAACGAGCCGCGGCATGTTGACGAAGGAGCCGCGGTTGATGACGCCGAAGGAGTTGCCGTCGATGGCCAGCACCTCCAAGTGGGGGCATCTCCACTCGGAAGGGATGAACTTGATCTTGTTGCCGGTCAACCTCAGCTCCCGCAGCCGGGGGCTACGGGTGAAATAGTCCATGTCCAAGCGGTCCAGCTGGGAGTAGGAGAGGTCCAGGTACTCCAAGGTGGTGGGCAAGCACCCAAAGGTGCCCGCCGTCACCTGGTTGTGGTGGAGGACCAACCGCTGCAAGGTGGGACTCCATTGGCACGTCTCCCGCCGGCTGCCCAAGGCGTTGTGGCTGGCGTCGAGGTGGGCGAGCCGGGGCCAGGTCCGCGTCAAGGCAGCCACCACGGCCAGGCTCAGGAGCTGGTTGGTGGCCAAGATGAAGGTCTCCAGCTTGGGCATGACGCCCTGGTAGTGGCACCGTTGGTTGTAGATATAACCGTCTGCCAGGCGGTTGCTGGAGATGTTCAAGAACTTCACGTTCCGCAGCTCCCCCCAGACGTCGCAGGGGACGTAGTTGAAGTTGACGTTGATGATGGAGAGGGCGGCCACGCCGCTCAACCAGGTGAAGGTCCAGTCGAAACGCAAGATGTCGGGGTTGCTGATGTCCTGCAGCAGGAGGCGGTCGAGCTGCGGGGCCACCATCCCCACGCCCGAGCTGTTCCACCGGGGCGAGCGGGCAAAGTCGATGGCCATCAGCTCCAAGACCCGGATGCGGGAGCGTTGGACGTTGAGCAAGGCAAAGCGGAGGAGGTTCTCGTTGAACTTGCCCCGGTAGAAGACCAACTTGGTGACCCTCAACTGGGCCAAACCGGCGAAGGGGTCGGCGCGGCCCATGTAGTAGGTGAACTCGAAGAGGTTACGGAAGCGCAAGGTGTCGAGGGGTTTGTCCCTCAGGTCCCTCAGCATCACCGGCAGAGCCGTGGCGTTCTCGTCCAAGGCCACGTCGCACCACAGCTCCGTGGTGTTCAACCAGGAGAAAGCCCCGGCCTCGTAACTCCGCAGGCTGGAGGCCGACTTGATGGCGAACTTCTCCAGCGCCGTGTCCTTCAAGGCGGCGAAGTCCTCCCGGGAGATGTCCCTCAGCAGGGGACCCCCCAACGACAGCTCCCGCAGCCGCCGCAGCCCCCTGAAGACCCCATCCAAGGCCGCGCTGGGGTAGAGGTTGTTGGACATGTCCAACCAACGCAGGTTGACCAAAGGCCCCAACGCCGGGGCCGGGATGCGCCGGAGGGAGTTGTTGAAGAGCCGGAGGTGCTCCAGGAGGAGGTTGGAGACGAAGGCGTCCGGCGCGATGCGGGAGATGTTGTTGTAGCCCAAATCCAAGCGCCGGAGCTGGGTCATGCCGGCGAAATCGCCCCCCGTGATCTCCTGGAGCTTGTTGTAGGAGAGGTCCAGGCCATGGAGGCCACGGGGGAGGCCAACGGGGACGGCCACCAGGCCCTGCCCCTTGCACAGCCCCGTCTGGTTGCCGGTGTCCATGGGGCAGGGGGGTCCTGCCGTCCCCCCCCCGGCCAGGGCCAGCAGGACCAGGCACCAGACCCGCCGGGGGGTGGCCGGGGGCCACATGGGCCCCCGGGGGGGGGGGGGGGGGGAGCTGAACCCCCAAAGGCCGGTCAGGCCTGACATCAGCTCCCGTGACCAGGCACAGAGGGGGGCTGGAGTGTGTCCCCTGGCTGTGCCCAGTGACCCAAGTT